TGTGTGTCTGCTTACAACTGCGAGTTGTGCATCTGTGTGTGCAGATTTCAATGTGTGTATCTGTGTGTGACTGGATGTGTGAGTTGCACACATATAAATCAGAGAGCTGATGCAAGTATATCAGGGGATGGGGAACATATCCTTGCCAGTCACACATGTGGCTCAATGAGCAAATTCACTCTGCATTGAGGGTGAAACCTTAACATCTGTCGCAGCAGCACATCAAAAGTCCCCAAGCAGGGCATGCGGTCTCTGCAAGGCCCTCCCAAAAGTGCACCGTGTCATCTGCTCCATGTGTCTCTCACCTTCTGTCTCTCCTATACGAATGTCTTCTCGCCTCATCTCCCCTCCTAGCACACTCTCTCCTCCCCTTGCCCCTTCTTTTTTAGCAGCAGAAGAAGTGACATTTATTAATGGCGGATTTATGTGCATGACCGCCCCGAAACCTGAACTGTGCCTCGACCATCCCTGGAGACTGTCCGTCAATTCCTGTAACCATCAGAGCGCCAAATACCTCCCTTTCAGGGCCCATCAGCTCTGTATGAGATCACTCTGAGTGATTTATAGGATTAAGAGCATTAGCAGTTCTGCAGATTTACATTGGTAGTTCTGATACGGTGTTAATATCATCATGATTATGACTCTTAAAAGACCTTGCAAATCAGAGATACTTCATGCTTCACTGTTCTGTATCATTTTTTTTTTTCTGACATAGATCAACCAAAACAGACATGTGTGGATGACTAATGCTTTTCAGATTAATTTCATGAACAATGACAACGTTTACATGCACAAAATATTCAGTTATTTGTCCTTATTCCAAAAAAGATGCTGGATGTCATTCATTAATCGATCTTAGGAAGAAATGTCTTCTTAAAACCCACTTCCAGAAACCCCTCACAAAGATTCTAATATAATCAATGTTTTCTGATTTAGGATTTGTTCCTAGGTAAGAACAGAAGATATGCACACTCAAAAGCACTTACACGCACATTTTGAGCTGACATATTTGTGCAAAATAATTAGTTATTAGATTTTCCCTAATGCTACAGTTGTATAACATCATAGGATTTATATTACAGTGATATTTTTATAATTTTGTTTTAGAATTATTTTGATTATTGTACATTTACAAAAAGCATTAAACATTCAGTAACTTTTTATTCACATCAGATATGTTAATGGAAACCATGCCATCTAATAATTAGTGATTGATCACAATAGAAAATATCACAGGCGGGTCGGGTTAGGACACAAAGTTACAAAGCGGCGCTCCTAGTTATTAATAAATTACAGAACATTGCGTGAAATTGTCCACCCTCACCTTATCTCCCCCTCTCGGCCTCTCTTTAAACACACACACGTACTCCTCAGAGAGGGCCGAAGCACTCGTCTCTGTCCTCAGTCCTGACAGCTGTGCTACTGTATTGCACACAGTTTGCAGTTTGCAGGTCGAGTGGTTGATTAACGTGTACTTTTAGCATCTCGTACATCTTTGTGTGATTTTAAATCCACTCCTGATGCTACTAAATATGACAACTCTATGGGCATTCACTTTCTGCAGAAGCACCTCTACTTCAAAACAGAGGGTTTTTTAATTGTTTTTTTTTTTAATGTTTAAAGTCGGGTGCTCCACCATCATTGGATTTTCTGTAGGGCATACTTAATTCTCTCAACTAATTCTTCTTCTTCAGTTTCCATTTGTGCACACAGCCCTGCAGTCTTGTGCCCTTTGATTGGGATTCGCGGGGCCTTTACCTATGCTAATTAGGATCAACTAGCTTTCAACTTATGAAGACAATTGGATTCATCAATATAAGAACACAGGTGCGAACAGTTCTGTGGTTTGAGAACACGTCGTGAATCTGATGTAGACTTTTCTTACAAAATTTCTCAAGAACAAATTTAAGAAAAAACCTACGATTATTTGTGAATGAGTCCCAATATTCCTACTGAGCTGTTTACATGGCTTATGAAAAAGAATATTCCACAGATATTCCTGTTTACATGCAGCCGTGCATATGTTGATTAATGTGCCCTAACATGTCGTTTATCATGTCAAAATATGGAAAAGTAGAACAGCTGGAGCAGCTTGTGCCATTTAGCTTCTTTGCATCAAAATAGGATTTAACAAAGTTTTCCACCAGAAAACAAATGTTGGGCGTGCACCTCAACCTCAGCCTTGACAAGTGTTGTGTACAACGTATCCATGACAACACACAGAGCCTACTTTAAACTGACAAGACGCCATGTGTCACAAACTGTGGTAAAAACCCCTATTGAGACGCATATTCTGAATGCACTATATACACGTCCAAATAATGCTCCCAAACCCAGAATAGTACTGACATATTCCACATGTCTTAATCAGAAAGCAGCTCATTCAGACGAATGCCTAATTCGGAATATATAAACTAAATATGCTGTTTGCATGACCTGCATCAAATTCAGAATATTGTCATATTCAGAAAAATAGGGGAGTATTTCTGTGCATGTAAACATAGTCGATGAATACTACAGGAAAAACTGAACCTAAAAATTCTGCAGAACAAAATGTAAGCAAAGTAATGGGATGAGATGTATAATCAGCCGTCGATAATAAATATTAAGATGTTAGCACAGGAGGATGTCTCAATCCCTGACAAGTACACACATACACACATACACACACACACACACACACACAGCATCTAGCAAAAAATAAATTAAAAAAAAAAAAAAGACTGTTTATGGTTAACAGCAAAAATCTGTTGTACAGTTACTAATGTTTTATTCATCATACTTTCTGGCCAAGACTACAAAATGCAGCTGTAAAGAAATGGTGCGACTTTAATTGCATAGCCCATGGGAGCTGGTTGCCATGGCAACATTAAAGCAGTGGAATGAGAATTTATAGCAATGTCTGTGATTAAGAAAATGTGCGTCGACCTTCCTCGCCGCACAGAAAGGACAGCGCACCTGCAGATACACACAGCCATGTACTTGATGTTAGTCCACCAGCTACATTCACATTTTCCTCAAGCACCACCACATTGACGCCTACCCTACGATCAGGCTTAATCCAAAGACTGACCTTAACTCCTACCTCTAAACACCCTCTTACAGAAGTCATGACGAGCCAGAAATGCCTTCACTCTGCAGGTTGGAAACTCAAATTGGTTCTCATAACGATAGATACACAGGAGGACGACAAACACACACACACACACACACACACACACACACACACAGCACCTAGGCACTCAGCCACATTCTGATATGTTTCCATGGCAATCCAGGCTGGGATCACATTGCATGCCCTAGCATTTGTTCGGTGCTCACTTGTGTGGTGTTTGTGTTTTTTCATCACTAGTTAACATCTGAAAATAGAAACTAAGGCTGCACACGGGGGCATTGTGAGTTGAAATGATACACTAGGCCAGAAAATATTGCAACTGATTGCACACAGCTGGTGATAAGGATGCACAGCACAGTAGGAAGAGCCGTTGATGTTTAGTTGCTTCTTCAAGATGCTTTTTTTTTGTTTTGTTTTTGCAGCGCTCAAAGTAAATCTGAATCTTTTTTTACTCTGTTCTCAGGTCAAGCAACCAAGAAAACATATGTGAGTTACAACAACCTCAGGATCTGATCTGCTTGAAAATGAATGCTGTTTGTCCTTTTATTTGTGATTTGAAAAGGGAAGGGAGCTCTAGAGGAACAGAGAAAGACAGACAGAGACAGGAGAGCGAGCGCAGGCATCCCAGCACCACCTGCAGTACCTATGCACTCCAGGACTGTGGATAGCAACCAACCTTCATCCAGACATGATACATGAGTCCTGACAGAGACTAGCACAGCTGTAGGCCAGTGTGGCTGGGTCGGCCTAACTAACCAAACTCTAGGTTTCAAACTTGTGTTGTGGCCCCCTTCTCTCTGACAGAGAACAACTTGCCTGCTGAAAGGGGTCACACTGTGAACGAGGACAAACCGCTTAAAAAAAAAAAAAAAAAAAAAATAGAGAAAAGTAAAAGGACAGTGGATCTGCTTTCAAGATATTTTCTTTTGAAATGTCATTAAAGCCATATTCTCTTGGGGTTCCCATTATCTGATTTTCTGTTTTGTATTGTTTCAGTGATTTTCTTCTGTGCCTCTTTTTCTTGCAGTTGATTTAATTACCTAAAACAGCAAGCTCTGCCACATACAGTAATTTGTTTTACTGAAATCAACGCAAATCGGTCCCAGATGATTATTATGTTAGAGTGATGGGCATTGTAAGTATATTTTTTTTGTAAATATTTGAGAGTATTTTCATGTTTGGAGTACAAAAATAGATATCCAGTCTTTGTTCAATTGGATTTGGATGGTAATGAAAAAGCACCACAAAGTGTTCACTTTGCATGTGCCAATGTATGTCTGTTCTATTTGATGTAAACCAAAAAAAAAAAGAGAAATAAATTCTGAAAATGACGATACGCTTCAGCATCCTTCTGCCGTTTGTTTTCTTTAGTAGGACTGAACTTCATTAAATGACAGAATATGGCTTTAATCTGTTGTTGGATTGACCCCCTCCTGTATCTGCAAGCATGTTTGTTTTATATAGTTTCGTACTGGGTATATTATGCCTAATTATGGTGTGGGAAACATTAATATCAGAGCAATCATGCAAGTATGTTGTGATGTCTGTCAAATTATGAACATGTAATAAAATCATTTTGTTATCTTTTATACAATTAAACCAGACAGCATATCATAGTTATTTCTGTGTGTGTGTGTGTGAGTGAGTGAGTGAGTGAGTGTTTGTGTTTCATAGCACAAGAGAGTAAGTTTAAACTGCTGTATGAATACAATTAATCACTGTGTTGTTTATGGCGTTCTGTAAACCGATGAAAATGTCATGTGCTCGTTTACCGTCTCACCCCATGACAGGGCACATTAGCGAGCTCGCTGAGCAGTGCTGTCATGCAAAGGAGATGAGACCCTGCGAGAGGAGAGGATGTCCACTTGCTGACTCCTTTACTCACCCCTTGCTCTTTTCTGTCACATCGGTTGTTCCTCTCTCTCGCTGCTGCTCCTTCCAAGTCTCGCCACCGATCCCCTACATGAATAATATAACATGTCAGATCAATTTGTCCTGCTGATGGCCAAGCCTTTACGAGCTAACCGCTCTTTATTCCAGTGCCTGCCTGCAAGCATAATGTTACTATTTTCAATATTGATTATTATATAAAAACATGAATAGGCCACGCATGAGAGACTTGTGTTTCTTCACCCGGTAAGCATCTCCCTCCAGGCTGTTACATGGGCAAATGATATATGACCAAGAGATGCTGATTCCTCTTTTCTGTCTGTGTTTGTGTGCGAGCAACAGAGAGATGGTGGGAAAGAGAGAGCGAGAGAACAAGATCCTTACCCACACAGGTTTTCTGTTGTTTCTCTTTCCATTTGTCTGGCATCTCTCTCAGCTCCTGTGGGACCAGATGGTCTTTACTTCTCATACGCACAGTCTGTCATTTTCTGTTGCACACAGCCAAGAAAAATCCCACTTATGCCCAATTAAGACTAGCCTCTCCCCCACCAAATTAATTGCCTGTGTCAGTGTCTGTGTGCAAGTAATCAGTAGGGGCTGAACAGCGTTTAGATTTGCAGCTCAGCAAAAAAAGACAAGAAATAGTAAACAGCTCAAGCAGGAGCATTTTAGATCTTTATATAAAGCAAAAAAACTTTAAGAGACAGGATCTTTGATATGCAGAAAAATCTAAAACATGGCACTTTCAGGAATGTTTTTTACTTACTTAAAATAGTGTGAGGTATGGTTTACTCCAGCTCCAAACACTCGAGGCTCCTACGTAAGGGCCCACCTGCTCAGTATGCACCTGTTCTGTAGGCAGCAGTTTCCTGGGAAAACATCAAAGGGAGAAAACTAATCATGGTGGACTGAGAGCAAGGCACACACTCCACCAGGAGGACTTAAATCTCCCAAACTCTAAGGACTGTCAATTGCAGATTATTATGAGTGGAACATTTGAAGCTGAACAAAAGATTTTATGGACTCTTAAAAGTGTACACAGGCTCGCCAAGAGCTGTGATTCTTAAAAGCTTTCTAGTTATAAAGTTGTCAAAAGTGTGAATTACTGAGGAATTACAAGTATGCACGACCCAATTTGGATGACAAGGTGACACCGCTGCTACACAAAATGTACATTTCAGCATGCACCTCGTGCGACATGTAGAAGTCCCAGCGCCAAACGCTCCGGCTTTCTTCTATCTTGAGTTTTTATGTCACTTTGGTTGAGCTCCGCCTTTGAAGAAAGCCTTCCTTATCTTGTCAGAACTCCTGATGCGCTCTTTCACAGACAATTTACTGATGCAGAGTCTAGATTAGCTCTGTTTCATGGCTCCTGGGCCCTGGGCTCTCCTATCTCTCCATAAATGTCCAATTATCCAACTCCAGCCAGAGTGAAACCTTATCTGCTTCCCGTCAGTGACCAACTGAGGCCTGATATAACGTGGGTTGGAAAAAAAGACTCTTCTTATTTTTCCTTCTGCCGCATCTTGTACTCAAAACCTCCTCATGATGCTTTTTTGCTCGCTAGTTTTTTTTCTTCCTCTGTGTCTGCAGAAATCAGGCCAGTTGCTGTTACCAGCACATAGTGACACTACGATTTTATAATTAGTGGTACAGTAAGATAGCCATTGGTTAGACATGAATCATAACATCCACATCTCCTCATAAGCACTAATTACCATCTAAAAGAAGATCATGAGTGCATTTTATGAACTGGCTCCGCAGCTGAGATTCTGTTTGCTTTTCTGCGAGCGATAGAAAAAGATACAGTGCCTGTTTTTTAACGTGTATATATATGCTAGTGTGGGGTCACTGGGCGCCATTTCTTATCTGTGGGTCCTCATACCAGGCTTTACTTAGGCTGCACACTCTGTGTGTGCACGCGTGAGTGTTTGCCACAGCGTTATTGCATTTTTAATCAGCGGAAGAGACCAGGCATCATTCTCATCACATTAGTGTCTCCTGGTATTTATTCCTCTCTCCCTCCCTTGCTCTCACCACTTTTACTCCTGGGGGGAGCTGGGTGGGTGGAGAGAATACATTTGAAATTTGCTCATTTGACAGTCGTTAGAGATATGGATTCTGACAGTGCACAATTAGCTCAGTCACCTCCTTTATCTTCACTCATCTTTGGCTGGGGGATTTAGTATGTGTTGCCTCGACTGTAATAACCGTTATACCTCTCTCACCGTCTCCTTCTCTGTCTTCCCCTCCCATCTCTTCGATATCCAAACTTCTAATTCCATCTTTTCCCCAGTTAATGATCATTTGAAAATTACATATCTGACTGCATAGATTTTAATTGACTGCTGTGTTATTAAGACGGCTGACTGAGACGAATGCTCTTCAGAATTCGCAGCTGAGTAGGTGCACTAATCTGCTGCTTTCCCCCAATTTCCCCTGTCAGAAAAATGCATTCATGGAGAACAGAAGTACCGAGCGCCGGCATACATCTCGTGAATATGTTGCATATTTGTTATGCGTTAGCTGCATGAAAGATGCAACTCACTTTAAGAAGACTGTATGAAATAAAGTAGTATATTTTTAGCATTGAATCGCAGCTCAGGTTCACAGCACAAACAAAAGCCAACAGCATTTAAAGCACGACAGATCATCTGTGGCTTAAACAGGAGTTGACAGAGATAAGTGCTGGCTGGCTGTGAAATTTAACTAGAAAGCTAAGCCCTTGATTTCAAGGAGCATGGCGTAAACAATGCATTTCCACATCCCACACAGATCACTGTTATTTCAAAGAAAAGTAAACGCCTAAAGAGAGAACAAAATACTGAAATGGAAATGAATAGTTGAGAAAGAGTGATAGAAATCCACATCAAACAAAGATGAAATGAAATTGAAAACCCGAAAGGTACAGAGAAAAAAAAAAATCACATACCACACTTGTTCGCTTGTTTGGGAGTAGATTAGTGGAAACAGCTGTCTGATGTTACGCTTATATTTAGTCATTCTTCTTAAAACTGATCCTAATTCAGGCACATAAATCCTCCACATCAAGCCACCTTTAGAAGCTTAAAAGCTACAAGTTTTGCTTTGGGCATTGTGCAGGAAGTGTACAGTCAAATGATTATAAATCAATTCAAAGTGTGAATTATAGTCTTACCACGCAAACTACATCGCTGAATATTGTGTGTCTCATTTTTCAGTTGGCGGTGGAGTGTGGAGCACTCTCCATTTGATTAAACTCTACCCAAAGGCTGCATCAATTATGTATCTTCACAATGGAGTTAATGGACTGCAATAACAGTTGAAGATGACTTGACTAAATTTCCACATGACATGGCAAGAAAAATCTCACTTCAGTAATGTAACCCTCCTGAACAGCTTGTCTGAAATGATAAAAGATCGGGCCTGCTTCTAGCTTATTAAATAAAATCGCATTTTCTTGTGTTAATTTCCCTGTTAATCGGTAAAACATTATGCCCCCCGACAGATCTGTTTCCTCTGGGAGAGTGTAAAATGTAGCACGCATGTCGGCATGTGTGCAACACACACACTCATCTGCAACAGTGTTATGTTTCTCAATTTACCTGTGTGTGTGTGTGTGTGTGTGTGTGTGTGTGTGCATTGAATGCATATGTGTGTGAATGTCTCAGCTCAGCTTGCAATCCATCTACCTTGTGATCCAGCCACTCTAATTCTGGTCTCTGGGGATTCAGTCCCATGAGTGGACCCTCGCAGAGAACAGAAGGGGCCCGCCAAGCCCAGACTACACAGTCACTGACCCATCTGGCCAGCAGGCCAGCAGGCCAGCAGGGAGCACGCAGGGATGCAGAGACCAAAGCTCTGCACAAACATCCTGTGCTAACATGAGACTGGCAGATCACACAATGCCAGTAAAAGGTAGAAATGGAGTACGACGACGACCACACACTGAGCAAGCCTCATGTTTTATTTTCGAATGTTGTGTGTTGTCTGAACTGCATATAATAACAGAGGGCAAAGAGTTTACAGCTAAACGCACACCACCGAGAGGAAAATGCAGTATAGTGCATAAAGTGACAGCGAAAACCTGCTGCTGCGTTGTGTATAATTTAGAGCAAAAACAACATGTTGATTCAACTGTGATCTTTGCACATCTTACAGAGGTTGGTTCAACATGACATTATGGAGTAGAGGTGGGGTTTAACCTGACCTCAGCCCTGCTGTTTCTCCTCCACGCTCAAATGCACAGCCATGTAAACGTTTCTAATAACCTCTCACATGCCGAGCGCCTGCTGCTGCCTTCGGCCCCTGCAGCAAGCTTAAAATGCTGCTCACACCATTAACGCCAGTGCAAGCAGCCAGTACAAGGCAGCATCTGTCATGTTTCCCCCCCTCGTCGCTTCTAGAACCCTCCCAACTTCTTTAGCTTTGTCATGCCTCTGAAAATCCACCGCATCCACGCAAGCGGGCACCTTCCGTGACTGAAGACGAGGATTTCCATCCCAGCTCTGGAATGGATCCAATTTATGAGATAAGGAGCAAAATGCAATTAGTCTACACTTTCTAAATCTGTGACTGAATTATGGAGTCTCACAGTTGTTATAACTTATCTCACTTTCTAATTACGAGTGTGACTTAAGAGAGAGCCGACACATTTTATTATCAGGGGGAATTAACTGAGGATCACTTCTTTGCTGATGCACTGTTTAATAAATAGCAGACATCAGAGATACACTCATTGATTCGCATGTGGCGTTATGGTAACTCTTAAGGTAATGAATTTAAATAAACTCAAGTATCTTATAATAGGATCTTGTTGCCTATACACGCAGTATCTGATAAACGATAATTGCAGTTTTGTATTTTGTTTACCACAGCTTAAGGCTACTTGTTATTTGTCTACAAAAGATATTATGATCTCATGCAAAGGTTATCAATCAGTGCCTTTGCCACAGTGTAATGCTACTGCCATCTACTGATACTGCAGCGATCTCTTTCTTTCTCTGTTTTTCTCCCTGCCCCGCTGAGCCTTGTATTATCACTACCCTGTCTCAGAATATAAGATCTGCACAACTAGTGCCGACAGATCACAAAATGTACTTCTGAATAGACTTCCTGTTCAGCGCTCAAGGCAACCAAGCTCATTGTGTCAGCCCTTACGCAGCATTCAAATGAACTTACTTCATTCTTTCACAAGATGGCGCTGCAGTCATTGTTGGTGGGAGGACAAGAGGCAGGCTGCAGATGAGGTGACAACTTCAACTTCATTTTTTTTTTTAATCATTTTCAGTGCTGCAAGAGAAAAATCAACTCATTTTTATGTACAAGAGAAGCAGTCATTGGCAATGAAATTCATAAAAGGGAACACCACCTAAATTAAAATGTCCAAGATGTTATTTCCATGGCCAACGAAAGTTCAATCAATAATTGCGACCATGACCTGCTCCCTCTCAAAGCCAGAAAACAGAGAAGTAAGTCTCAATCTTGTCATGTCATCAAAGATAAAGTCTAGAGCTGCTCCAGAGACATTGAATGGGAGCCTGATTTTATGGACTACAGAATGTTTGTTTTCTTTTTTTTTATACCCAAATGAGCTTTATGCTATTGTAGTGTTCTCAATCCAGGACAGAAAGTGCACATATACTCAGAACATTCCCCTGGGTGCTCTAATTGTCATCTATAACCGCAAGTGATTTGCAAACATGTCAAGCTTGTAAAAAAATAAAAATCAAACTTTACTTTTAAGTACAGTAAATTTCCAGCACAGAGCTTTGAAGTGCTGTTCTCTGCTGTAGTGACTAACCGACAGCTACATGACATAGACAGCAATCTAGCTCAACAACAAACGCAAGTATAATGCTGAATATATCAAACTATGTGAACCTCAGACTAATGACTAAGAAGAAATCTGGACCCTGTGGCTGAACCAGTTGGGAACCACTGATCTATAACATCTTTCCCAATTAATTGTCTGTAGAGCAGCTTAAGACTTTATACCCTATGACAGTGATACTCATCTTACAGCCTGTGGGCAAAATCTGGCCCGCAACAGGGTGCTGGGTGCCCCCCTACCATTTTCAAATTCACGATAAAAAATAAACTGAGTCACACTGGAATTTTTACTGTAAATAAAGTGCTGTAGTGCATAAGAAGCATCAAATAAGAGCTTGTTTATCAAAAAAGTCCCTGGGGAGGATTCCCCAGACCCCCTGACAGAGGGTCTGGTTATGTCCCACATGTCCTCAAAGCCTAGAAACACCCTTGCCTCCACCTGGGCCGTGCAAGGCTGCTGCGATGGGCCCCTGGCTTTCTGTCATTTTGGAAAAATAGCCCTAGGGCAAAGTGAGTTCAGTACCCCTGCCCTATGACATCACAGATTTGAGTTACAGCACTCTAGTTTTTGGATAATGCTGAAAGTTGTTCATTTCTACTAATATTTTTGGACTGTTTTAGACCATAGGAATAACATGTATAAACAGTGAAAGTGGGCGTAGATCCCCTTTAAGTGTCAGGCTCCCTCCAACAATGATAATTAAATGTCTATAAAAGAAAAGGTCACACAAGTAAAACAAAGATGACAATCTAAACTTAAGGTGTAAGTTAACATGGGGATAAAATATAACAAATAAAATCTTAAATGAAGTAATATAAATCACACAGTAATTGAACTGAATAAACTGAATGCAAACGCAAACAGTAACGTAGTAATGAATATATGCAGTCTTATAAACACACTATGAGCTAGGAAGACAATGCATTGACTTACATAATTTCCTGTATATTAAAGCTAAATGTATACGACCCTAATTTACCCTAATTTTACATTAACCTAAATTACTTTGTGGAGATCGTTTTGTGCATTTTTTCCTGTGTTAACAGGTTGTTGTCCTCAGTATTCTTTCAACCGAAGAAAAAAAACAAGCAGCTAACACACTGCTTCCAAACCTCCTGTAAAAGTTACGTTAGCTTGTTACACTTCTAAAACAAACTCAACAGTTAAGTAAACCAAGTTAATTCAAGACATATTACTGATAATATGATATTGTTTTACTCACCATTGAAGCTCAACTCTGAAGCACCGGGTTAATCAAACATGGTTCAAACAGCCGGTGTTTCTGGGCTAACTAATTAGCATGCTAATAAGCTATCAAAAAGCTACTAATTAGCCGTTAAGTCAGCTAGCAGGACGCAGAGTAGTTAGCTAACGTTAGCACCCTAAATTGCAAGAAAAGAAAGAAAACTGCCGCTGCTCTGTGTTTTAGAGGGTTAATAATGTTCTTGTTATGGTTTTTATAAAAAGCTAATGAAACACAGACTGATGAAATTGGTTAATTCTGGGTCCCTACAAGCTCACAAAACGTTAATGGTTGGCTAATGTTGAGATCAACCTCCAGGGCGGAAGTGCCCAAAACTGCAATTCATCGGCTGGCCACTGGGGGCTGGCTGCAAAACAGAGCAAATCCCCATTGACTCCCATGTTAAAATATCCAACTTTACAGCTAAAATAAACATGTTAACAGCCAGGTTCAAAAAACAGTTTTGATCTCTATGGCTTATTTTACCATTCATGAAAACTGTACCGGAGGTGAATTTTTTTTATAAAGATCCCTTTTTAATATTATTGAGGCTTGAAGTTCGGCATAATTAAGGTCGTGGTCACGCTGACTTAACAGACTGTCTGCTCTCAACTTGACCTCTTTACCTGTTTTGAGCAGATGCTACTTAAGCTAATCAGTCTATGAGCTGACACAAGTATGTGGACAACATATGGCATTTGATTATTATTTCTGTATCTTTCCTCCACCACCTGTGTTACCCCTTTTGGCTTAGTAAGGGTTATTACCAGAACAACAGTAGCAACACATTTTTGTTAAAAACCTTAAATCTTAGGGTTGCCTTTGATCTTGTGAGCTTTTTATGTTTAAAATGACTATATTTAATGGTCTATGTGTTTTTACATCCAAAAAGTAAAATTGGTACAGGACCTGCATGGCTACATTTCAGAATTATGCAAAATGAAAATGGCATTCACAGTAGATTTAATTACCTGAGTGCATCTATAAAGTCAGGTGAAACCTGTATAGATACAGATGTACTGCAGGAGCACATTGGTATATACATACTGTGTAATGTGCAAAACATTTTTAATGGTTTGCCTATTATAAAAGATGAAATATATACCCCTTGCTTCCCTGACAATTATCCTTCATCATTATGATGTTTTATTTTATCATTGTGCTTTCAGCCTAATGGGAAACAGAGTGCCACATTTCTTGGGCTTTGGGCATCTAATGAGGCCTATTACAGAGTTGTCCATATCATCTGGTGCTGCCCACCATCATATCCTTTCTATTTCCACTGCTAAGTAGCAAATCACCTTACCGCCTCCCCAAGCACCAGGGTGCATACAAAGGCTGATTACCTCTTCTTTTTTTAATCAAGAGAAAAGTTTGTGTCAATAATACTTTGCAGTACAAATAATTACCCTCCTGTTCGCAATGAGAGCCTGGCATGACATGGCTACAGGCCTAATTAGAATTTGTTATGAACCCAGGAATTATAAACAATCTTACAAAACACCCGTTTTGATTAGTGTTCTGCCGGTGTCTGAAATATAAAAAGATACAGCAGGTGTTTTATAAACACTGAGTGTGGATATGAAGAAATCTGTGAAGCAATTTCAAACAACTATAAAGCAAAGCATTTGTATTCATCCGTGCACTCATATTTTAGAAATTAAAAGTTGTGAAACGGATGAGACTGGAGGTTTTGTGCTGTGCAGCATCCACAACGGCAGGTTTTCAAGCGCACTGCCTCACACACATCAACAACTGAAAGGTCAGTTCTTCCTATAGGTTTCATGAGGTCATACATTTTTCATCACATACATTAACTTTCATTCCCGATACATAATTAATGAGAGCAGAAGGAGGTTGATGAAGTGAGAGATTGGCAGGACATAAAATAGCCTCAACCCCACATTCTGATACACCCTCATTACCTACTACTTGCTGCTGTTATTGATTAGCTCAACTCCATTTGTAGATTCAAACTACTCAACTGCTGTTGTTGCAGTTCCCTGATCCTTTATGGAAAGTATTAATAGAAAGCACATCACTACATACTACAGCAGGTTATGGACTTTCAGAGTAAAGTGTTTGTTTCAAGTGCAATGCAACTTGTGCGGTTGGACATCAAAGCTGAGGTGGGCAGTGTAATTTTGGCTTTATTGGCTTTATTATTAACTTTGAGCATATTGTGATTCAAGTGGTCTGAGAAAACACTAGACATCTGTACCTCCCTTTGGCTCTGATTTATGGCTTTAAATAATCTAGGCTGTAGCAGGTGACCTTGGCCAATCACAGGTCATTTCAGAGAGAGAGCCCAGAGGGAGTTTCACAAGATGGTCTACAAACGCAGATGCACGCGCACGTCCCTTCAATAAAAGCCTGTTTCAATGGCGAAGAATTCTGCCTCCACTGCAAAGCAACCCACAAAAAAGGAAGATGAGCTTCTCAAGTAGAGAGTCTAAAAGGCTCACGACTGCAGCTTCATGTTCACGTCGATGTAGCTAATGTTAGCAAGAGCCTCAAATTACAATGTGTCCTCCAACTTACTCAGCGCTGCTACAGACCACCTCGCTGGGGGCAGCACTTCCAACTCCCCGCTAAATCATCAAACTTTCTGTTGCTGCCATTACACAAGTTAGATCCGGTGCTACCGCTAGCCACCAGCCAACTATAACATCCTGCGCTGGGGGGTTGTCCTCAAAAGCTGCTACATATGTCAACTGAAGGTCCGTCTCCTGAGTTTCAGCCTACACTTCTCCCAGGAAAGTGGGAGACGTGGCGGGAAACGAGGCAGAGGGACAGAGGAGTGGCTAGCTAGTGAATTCTTGTCTAATTTGTGGTCTGATAAAGAGAGTGGGGCATTAAGGGGCTGAGCGTATGTGCTGTGTGCAGCTTTACAATGAGATAAGATTTAATAATCAATGTATGGGAATTCTATGAAGCCTGTGCATACGTCTGGTGGGAAGGGCTTGGAAGGAGCGGGGAGAGCTGCAGGAGCTGCCTTTTCCAGATTTCTGCCCACCCGTGCTTTAAAACAAGCAATTCAAACTAAGAGTCATTTGGTGCATTTTACCTAACAAGGTCCAGTTTGAACAGTTGAACAGCTTATAGCCGGTCACTGCAAGAAAAAGGCACACACAGTGTTTGTAATCCAAACTGTCCTGAGTAATACTGGTGTCCAGTCCTGTGCTTTCTCCCAACCTCAGCCCTGCAGAGCTGCTGTCAGTTGCCTGAATTGCGAGGGAGATGTGACTCCTTTCTGTCAGCGGTCAGTGACTCAATCATGTGCTCCCAGAATAAAATATCATCCTACAACTGCATATTCTGTGTGCCAGAAGTGTCACACAGAGACAGCCTGAGGCAAACATTCCTGCAGTTGTTGGTGGCTGCTATATTACACAATATGTTCTCAGAATCTGCAAAGTTACAGAACAAAATAAAGGTTGGGCTAGGTAACCTTTATAATCACAGCATAATGATTAACAGGGGAAAGTACTTGCTAAGGTCTCATGTAAGCCATGTACATTTAGGGGCTGCACCTAGTGATTATTTTAATTATCTATTTATCTGCTGAATACAAGCTATTCAATTAACTATCATGTAAAACCTTATGCACACAAGATAATAGAGTATTTTACACAGATTTACTGGCATTATCTCCTGGATATGATGGGCACAGAACAGAAAATATTCTGCCACACATCATCACATTATTCATCTCATTGAGATGGATGATGTTTTAATTCATAATTGCCATCACAGCCTCTATAGTTCTCATCCAGGAAAGAGGCACGGAGGAAAAAACACCTAGATACGACCCTAATCACACTGGACTAATGTTTTTATACAATCTGTGTTTGGTGAAATACAGTAGGTTGTTTGAGGTGGAATTGTTACTTGATAAATGACAGACATGGCAGATTCGCACAGGATTAGGATCACAGACAATCCCAGGTAACAACAGTCCCTTGTGAAAAGGGCTTTAGATAGGAAAAAAATGCAGTAAAGTTTTACATCTGAGAACCTAGAACCATGAATTGTTTGTCATTTTTGCTTAAAGAATGACTTAATTCGATTAGAAAATAGCTGCATCACAATTTTAACTAGTTGTTGCAGCTCTATTTAAGATACTTAAGCCAATGCTATATATAAAATAGGTGCTTTCTTCATTTGTTGATGTTGCCAGGTGCCACTGTTTTGTTATTGCTGTCATGTACTGTATATATTGTTTGAACCCTGCACCATGTTATTTATGCAACAAGAGGTGAGAGGTCTGCATATTTATAAACAGTACAAGCTGTATTTAATCACACGCTGTGTTTGCAGAGAGAGCCTTTAAGTCCAGTGTCAGCGATACATACTGTATATGAAAACGATCGTGTATGTAAATGAGCCAGCCGCCCACAGTGAGATGATTGTTGGCTAACTGATAAATGATTACTATATTCAATTTGCAACATAACCCACCTCATAATCACCAATTATGTGTTATAATGGCTGGTAAGGCTGAGCAAATGAGAGCAAGGAAGATAACGTAATTACAGCACTGACAATGAAGAAATTAAAAAAGTACAGAACACAGTGTAAATGAAACTACAGCCACCTGAGTGGTAAGTTATGGGTATGCTTCAGGGCTATAAATAAGACAGGTCTGTCTCTCTTTGCAATAAGTCAAGGTCTAGAACAGGGGGTAGCAACCTTTACTTTCAAGAGAGACATTTTTGGCCAAAATAGCTCTCAAATAATCTGCTTGGAGCTACTAATAGGTCTAAATGAGCATTTATTAATATGTTTTACCAAGGAGGCTACTCTGCAGTGGACTTTTTATGACTGTTTGGTACTTTAACTTTGCAGGGGTGGCGGTAAAAGCAAATATGTCCATGTACTATTAAACTCTCTATTGTCCTCCAAGACTTATTTTATCTCCAGAGCCACAGGTTGCCCACCCCTTGTCTAGAGGATGAGTCTGAGGATCATCAGTGATTGTGTGTTTGAGTATGAATGCTCTTTAAATGTACAAAAATAATACTAAATGCCTCCATTAATTGCCAAAACAACTTCTACCAAATACACATTATTGCTAAAATTACACCCAGAAACATTCACAGCAGCTGAGGGACTTCTTTCTAGGACTACACAAGAACAAATCAAAATGTCTTGTATTGCAACTTGTACTGTGAGTGTGCATTTGTCAGAGCAGCATGGAGTCTGCATCGTGTCAGCACCCAGTGAAACTGTTTTTGACCTCTCCCGAATAAGCCATCATTACACAAGCTCTATACTAAAAGAATCTGAGAGCAGATATTAGTCATTGTTATTGATATTTCT